TAAGAGAAACTGGAACATATTTTGCTGACTGCACTCTAAGCTGTGTCCCATCTCTTGACTTCAGTCCTGGCTCTCCTCCACAGAAATGAAGTCTACCATGCACTACAGACTGATCAGTAATGATAACAGCCATATGAGTATCTTACCAGCTTAATTTAGGGTAGTCGTATTTGCATCAATTACATTTCTTCCCTGTAGGAAAAGAAAGCTAAGAAGAGAGTGGAGGAAGAGAGCGAAGTAAAGGAAGACAAAAAGCAGTGTTGTTTTTTAATAACTTGAAAGTATGAACTGATAGGGAGAGAGCTACCATTTATTTTATTTTGGTCCACTTTCAGATTTTCAGTCACTATGTGAGATGTATCAGTTGGGAACTGTTGACATTATAGCATAGTCAGGTAGATACAGGTCAGGAAAAATCATCATAAACAATCTAAAAGGCCAGATTTTATGCCAGTAAGGTGCAGTTATTTTAACTGAAAAGGTCTCACTTCTCAGTTCAGTATCATCTATGAAACAACATGCAAAGATTTTAATAAATAATCGTATTTGAAATTGATGTTGTTATAGTTACATCCCAAATGGAAAAAACAGCTAAATGTAAGAAGTCTCTCTGTTCTCTTCAGCCTGCTCTATGTAGAGTTCTATTCAGGCACCAGAGAAACTGAAGGTCCCACTGGAAGTACTCTGCTTTAATTCTGACATGACTACAGTACAGAAGCTGATGTAGCCAGAGCTCTGAGATGCCTGTACCTATCCTTCTCCATGACTTCAAGTCCTTTTTCTGTCCCTTTTATCCTCCTTCTCTCCTCCTCTCTTTCCCTCTCCTGCCATACACACATCCCAAGGCAGCCTTGGTGATTTATAGACAGCAAGGAAGATTTGTGTTAGTCTTTACATCTCCGTCTGTCCATCTGTGCAATAGTTTTCTAGTCATAGAATTACCTGAATAGAGATTTAACAAAAAGTAAAAATGCAGACTATTTCACAAAAAAATCGAAGTGACTGAATCTGTTAACTACCTTTTCTCTTTTGTTCACAGCAGTACTGGTGAACATTTTTAAAGTATAGGAAAGATTTTTAAAAGGGGCTTTAAAAGCAAGCACTCTCTGTTTTCTGGAAACACTGACAATCCTACTGCTATTACCAGAAATGCCTGCCCCTGGCCAAAATTTCTCCTGCACTCTGACACACACTGGCTGCTAACCTGCTGTTACCCACTGGCTAGGAAGGCGTTCTGCAACAACCAAGAGACCACCGCTTGTGAAAGGACTGTAAAGCATCATGCATTACTAAACTGGAGAGTCTATATGAAAAGATCCTGTTTATACCTGCTTTTATCTAAAAAGCTGTTGTGCTTTATTGTGTGCCGGTGTATGTCAAAGTAGGCTGGACACTACAAAACCTGATCTTGTGCCCAGGCAATTCAGTCTTTTGCTCCTTTTACTGTCTGCTCTCCACAGGTCTACATGAACTCAAGCTAGCAAACTCTGAAAAGCATTTGGCCTCGCTTGCCAGAAATGCTTGAGCTCCTAGCCAATCCACAAATAGAAAAGAGTCATCAACTGTGCTTTTTTTTTTTTTTTTTTTTTTTTTTTTTTTTTTTTTTTTTTTTTTTTAGAATGGGATGAATTAACTTCAGAATCAGCACTGCACATGCAGTAGCACTGGAAACTGAACTTACCTGCCCTCAGACAACATACCAACACTACTTCTTGAGTAAAAACTGAGAGACAAAATCCTGGTTGTAATCGATTTACAATGCATTCTCCTGAACTGGAGTTTGTCAAGTACTTCTGACAATTTGAGGATAACACTGTCTTGTGTGTAGATATTTCACAAACAGAGGAAAAAAAAGTACCTGGGATACATTATTTGTTAACTGTTCACTCAGCTCATGATAGGTGTGTGACTCTGAACTGTATCTGGCATCTAACATCTCTCTTTTGATAGATAGCGATATCTCAGCAGCCTGGTCTCTGAGCCACTGCAGACAAGGAATGGGCAGCACACGTTCATCGAACTAACATCTGCTTTCAATTCTCATTTATAGATGTGGAGTCCTTTCAGCTGGACATTAATCATTCTCTACAGCAGCAATTAGATACTTGAGACAGATCAGAACAAATCAAATTAGCCTTATTTATTAAACAAAAAAGTCCTAAGGAGTAAATAAAAAAGACACCAGACCATACTGTATGGAGCAACATAAAAAGAAAACTAAGATACTGACACACAGGAGTTTAAAAGCTTTCAGGTGCTATTTTCAAAGCCTCAACTGTAACCAAATAGCAGAGAGTTCTACTGCACAATGCCTCATGGATTGTTTTAGCAATAAGGTATAATTGAAAGGATTATCGTGAATGTAATGTTTCCCTTTGAAAAATTCCAGGAATGCAAAAATGACTCTCATCTGCACTGCATGACTCATGTTTTTAATGCTGGAACTTAATTTTCACTCATGAGGAATTCAAGCTCAGGGAAATGTTACCACAGAAATCCTCATTCAATCAACAAAGGAAAATCTCTCTCTCTTTTGCTGCAGTTAAACAAAGCCCAAGAATCGTATCTTCGGTGTGTCTGGCTTGGTTCAGCTTCAGGCAATGGATATCCTGCACACCGAGGAGAGATACCACTCTCCCAAGGGCTCAAGCAGATCACCCTGAGATCAAACTCTCCAGACTAGCTCTAACCAAGAAGAGCAGCTTCCTCTTGCTGGGCTTCCCCAGCTTAACATGGCAGACAGCTCTCAGCAAGCAAGGTGGGGGACACTGCCACATTTGTGTGGAAATTAGTAACAAAACATCTGTAGATCACAAGACAAACCTGGACTGGTCTAGTGGGAGGTACACAGCAATCCACCAAATACCTGATACTCTCTCTCTCTTTCCTTCAATTGCTTTTTCCAAATATTGCTTGTATTTTTTTAATGAGGAAACAATGTACCGTTTGTTACAGAAAACTGGCAATGCCTGAGTGAAGAAGAGCTCTCACCATCTAGATTACATGTATCAGCAGCATTTCAGGGGCTTTTTATAAGGGGAGCTAAATGTTAAGCAGATGAGAAGTTTCATGAAAGAATACGTCTGAGACAGCAAGCAGGGTTTGGCTGTCCACACACAAAATGATCCTCATCTGCCTCTGCCATAGAATGTGAAGCCGATCATCTGCTCCCATCTAGAAAGCCCCATCCTGTGCTAGGCTGCCTCTGCTGCTTCAAAGTGTCAGGGTGGGACGAGCAGGTCCAGAGGAAACACGGCTCTGCTGCACGTCGTGAAACTTATGCTGCTTTATCACCTTTCCTCTCAGCACCTATTAAGGGTGTCCGTGGGTGGGATGGAGGCTTGCGTAGGAAGGAGGAAGATACTTTTTCCAGTGAACTCGTCAAACCTCTCCTCCTCCTCCTTCGATATCCACAGCCTCCTATGCTGATCCTTCCCTCTCCCTTCCCCAGCTCCACATACACCTGACTGTAATAACAGCAGAGATACCATCTGGGGTTAGCTCATTACATGTTTATTACTCCTTTGTTTATTTCTTCATAAATATAAACTGTTGTTACCTGTGCAAGCCTGTGCATCTAGCCCAGTTCTGGTGAGCCTTAAAAGCCCCAAACTGAAAATAGCCTAAAGATGTGAAGAATCACAGGCAGTATTGCAGCCCAAAAGGCAGCCAGTTAGCTGAAGTATGGAGAGAGAAACATTGCAACATGCAGCATGGAGAGATGTTTTTATATTTAAGATTTCCTGGCTCGCAGGTACTGTGTTAGTTAGTTAGATGTGGTTATAAATAGAAGCGCCTGCTGACATTAATCACAATAATTTGGCGATGTGGCTACTGATGTGAAATTATGAAAGGGACAGGTACCTTGCAAACCTAAGCCCAGTTTATTGTTGGCCAGATCGTTTATCAGCCAGAGAAAATAACCTTTCCTCCATGTTCTGTGATCTCATGCAAACAGGAATCTGAGTGAGAGAGGGAGGAAGGGGCCTTGTTTTTTTATTTGATTTGATTTTTCATTTGGTTCAATGTAACTTTAAGAAATATTAATCTACTCCTTCATTTAATTTCATCTGTACCACTGGCCAAGAGAAATGCACTAATTTATAAGTTGAAGCAAGCCTTGAGATAATGTCACCCACCATTCATCCAAATTTGTCACTAGCATCCCATTAAAGCCGTAATTATTTTTTAATTAAAACTAAGGAAGCTGGCATGCGTGTGCCTACTTTATACATCTGTTATGGGTTAAAATAGCTTTTAAAAAATGTTTTTTTAGACCGCAGTCTTTTGTGGCCATGGCCTATGCCAAAGAAAACGCAAACTTGCTTATTTTCTCCATGGGGCGCAACACTGCCTATGTGTGCCTGAACAGATTCGACTGGCCGTGAAAAGAATTCTAAATAAAACACAAACATGGAATTTGGCAACGCCACAGAAGCGAGCTTAAGACTAATTCCAGCATGCGGACGGCTCTCACACAGCAAGTCTGGCTCCACTATAAATGAAACCAGGCTCTGTAAAATCGCCAGTAAAGTTTGAGTTAGGATTTAAAGAGACAGCATTCTTATTCCAAGGTTTAAGATGGAAAAAAAACACATGCACACGCGTGCACACATGCATACCCCAGCTTATTAAGGAAATTCATGCTGGCCCAGTAAGTCTGTACATTGCAAGCTGTGTTTACTTTCAGCAGTCATTTCCATTTTAAAAAATGTGATGTTAAAAAAAAAAAACACAAAAAAAAAACCAGTATATTCACTTTGGACTTGATTTTTAGAAAAAAATGCTGTAATTATTATTGCAGGGACCACTGGCACTGACAGCATGAATGAAGGACCTACCTGATGGCAAAGTTGAAATGATATGTTTAAAAAAAGTACGAATGTTTGAGGCAGAGCAGAGGAAGAGAAAGGTGCAGAGGGGGAGAAGCTCTATGGCCAGGCTGGCTACAGAGCAGCCTGTTCCCATCAGGCAGCCCAGCAAGTAGGATGGTGACTCACTGGGACTTGCTGGGAAGGGGCTATATGCCATACAGCCCCGTGCTGCCATGCAGAGGGGCAAATCTAACCCTGGGGCAATGAAATCCTCTGGGTAATACCTCCCCAGCAGTCCCACCCAGCCCCAGAGAGCAAAGACACCTGCAAAGAAGAGTGAGGAGAAAGTGAGAAAGAGCATTCGCTCATCTTTACCTATTAAAGATAAAACAAATTTAAGAAATCTCAGTTTATAATCACAAGACACGGCCTGGCAAACCTAGCAGGAAAGGGCAATGAGCAAATTATTTAAGGCAGTGATGGTACTGTCTCCCACACACTTTTGCTCTCCCTTACAGCTCTGGATGATACGAGGCCACAGAATTAAAATTATACCTCAAGTGCCCACCTCAAATCGTGACCATTGGGTTTTTCCTTGAAAAGGAGAGAGCAGAGGGAAGATTTGCTGGCTAGAGGGTTCTAAATATGGGAAAAGTTCAGACATTTACAAGTGTGCTCAGCTGCACTAATGAACATTGACAGTGGTGGTGAAGGCAGGGGCTAGCACCACTGCAGTTTTCACAGTGCCACTCATGGAAAATGTGCAGAGAAAGTCTGAAGGAAATTGAGAGGGAGTTTGCAGCAATTTCACAGGATTATTTCACAATTATTCTATGTATCTACTGATAATGATAGTGAAGTGTTTGGCTTCAGTAGGCTACACAGTTTTTAAGATTCTACCTCAAATTTGCAACAGAGGTTCAGTTTAAGAAGAAACAAAAAAAAATACAAAGAAAAAACATGGGTTTTTATTAATTTTGTATTTTATAAGGTTTTGCAGAAAGGCGTAAGTTATTCACTAATCTTGTCCTCACTGTAGGCAAAACCAGAATGATCCTATTCCCAGTTTAATCAACAGTTCGCACATTTTTATAAAGGATTTGGATTAACCAATCGATAAACAGACCTAGTTTTTGGAAAGACTTTACATTATAAACCTGTCTGTGCCATAATAAATGAACTTACTCTCTCCCTGTTCAACCAGAGGAGGGGAGAAAATAACCTAAATCTCTGTTAGAAGATGCAAACTGAAAAAATAGTTCCCCCGCAGGCAAAGATCACTGGTGCTATGCCGAGGTCTTACAAGGTTCCAGGAATTTTTGGTTTTCACCCTGATTGCTATGGACAGTTTTAAATAGTACGTATTTCCCAACAATACTCTGATTCTTACTGAAATCTCTGTACATCCCTGAATTCCATAGACCATGTTCACAGCTGGCATAACAGAAGAATGCCACTGAAGTCATAAAACACCTCGTAGAAAGATGCTCAGCTAAGCATCCCTAGGCAGTCCCTAATCCAACCCTCAGTGGGCTGCTGGCGTGGTACAGCACGCCCTGGCAGCACTGTGCTTGTCACGCAGCCATGGAAGAGACGTAAGGATCAGGTTTAGATATGGGTCTCACGTGAAATAATCTAGGTCAGTACAGGGCATGTAAGGAGACAGGCTGACACACAGAAAGGATAGGATGCTCCTGTCACATTGCCAGGGGATATACTGAAAATAATACATTTACAGTTGGTTCCAAATAGCCAAGTGACGTTTAAATAAGCATAAACACTGCAGGTATGCTGTGCAAACTGGCCTCTCTCTAACCAGAGATTAACCATGTTAATAGCAAAGACAATAATTTAGAAAGCACTATTTCATGGCATGATTCCAGTGCCTATGTCTCCCCACCGCCTTGCTTAGTGTCTGCATTAACCTCATTCCAGAAGTCCCAGGACCTCTGACTCTTACAGCTGAATTCATAAAAAATGTAAGCCCTCACTATGTGAGATTTTTGCCTGCTCCCTTCCAAGTGCACATTTTACTGACTCATTGAACCTGGCTTCCCCAGCTTGTGCTACGGCAGGTTGTGTTAGCTAGAACAGGGACCCACAGAAATGGTTTGTTTAAGACAAAAACAAGAGGGAAATAAAGATAGCAAAGGCACGTACCATACTCTAGCCTACCAGATTTCTGTATGTACTGCAAAAATGCTTGGAAAAAGCCTGTCCAAAAGAAAGCGAACGGCATAATAAAGTATGTTGCTAACAGTTGCTCAGCTGTTTACTGCTCAGCCGAAAGAAGGACCGTGCAGCACACAGGAGCCCAATGGGGACACGCTAGGTGCAACAGTCTGGCTTCTTTGACTCAAACCCCTTTCTAAACATGAAGTGTCCCATCTGAGCATGGAACTCTTCCTTTCATCTCTTTTTGTGAAGCATTTAGAAAAGAAAAAAAAAAAAACAAAAACAGGCAGCTCTGAAGGGACATGCGGTAATTTTTTGCAGTTCTCTGGCTTAAACGTGAGCTACCCCAGGAATATGTGATCCAATTTGTCTTAAAAAATAAAATAAAGTTATTTCACTACAAAATGTACAATGCCTCACTGTTGCCTCTACCTTTCCCACTCTGGCTTGTGAACTAAAAAAGCGTTTCTCATCACAACTACCTACACCATACAGCATGTCTTGCCCTACTTCCTTTGACACTGAGCATTATATTTGTGCACAAGAGATTTATCTCTGTTCTCACAAACTGAACAGCCCAATTCACTTCCTGGCTCAGACACACAAATGCATCCGCACATATCTGACAGAAAGCGAGAAGAAAAGTGATGACAAAAAGCTACTGCTGAAGGGGCAGGAGAAAACTCCATCCTGAATATGCCAGGTGAGGCTGTACAAGTGAACTGTTTAGCATACGCTATGTACAAATGAATGGCAATTTACTCAGAGAAAGAAAGAATAATTGCAAACATTTATGCCTCGTGCATGTGTATTAAAAAAAATCAGCTCTCAGAAAGCTGGTGCGTTGCCCAACCAAAAGGCAAGGCACCTGACAAACACTACCCCTAATTTTGTCGCTTTCGAGGTGATTGCTTCCTTCCTTCTCTTCCTGCAGTTGATTTCTTCTCTTTTTAGGAAGTGTTCACCAAGAGGCATTCAACTCCCTGAAAAGGGTAGGAAGGAGGTGGCAGCAGGGAAAGGATGGTCCTATCCTGCCAACCTTCCCTTGTGGTTACTCTGATGCAGAAACACGAAAGCCATTCCTGTCCCTTTGCTGAATACTAACACACACCATGCTACAGCTTCAAAAATAGGTCTGCTCCTCCTTCAGACAACGGAGATGTTTCTGGACATAACAGCTGCTGAAAGCTACAGCGCTGCCCAAACCTTGCCTATTGCACCCCATTAAAGTAGTCTTTATTTATGCTGATGTCTTCTGGAAAGTGCTGCGCAAATGCCAAGCAAAAAGAAGACTGTGATTTGTTTGTGTCTTCCATCAGAGCAGCCCGCACCTTGCCATCAGTGTAACAGCCTCTTTGTAACCAAGCTACACTTTCCCTTCCAAACTACAGATACTCCCAAATACTTAATGAATCGGAGGGGGGGTGTGTGGTG